TTGACCAAGATTTTGACCAAGCTGGAATTGGTGATATCTCGCTGAGCCCTTAGCCTATCCCCTTACCCTGTGGATGTGCACTTACCCCACGGTACTTGCTGAGTTGTCTGTCTACTCTTTCTGCATTGAGTCTCTTCTGTCTTAGGTGCTAGGACTCTGGATGAAGGATAGGGCCTTGCTGCCAAACCTGCACGGGCTTAGTAGGACCAAAGCTCTACTCTGGCACTTGGAGACCTGGGCATGAGCGGCGAGCGCTCGTTAAACAACTCGTCTAGCCCAATGACCGGTACTGTCCGACAGGTCTACTGAGTTCAGTGTGGAGGGTGTGAACTCCGAGCTGTAGGCTGAAACGAAGGCCGTCTTTAAGTGTTGAGGCCTGGTTGAGCCACTCCCCTACCGGACCTAGAAGGCTGATGATCCGTGTCTGACGACTCGACTGTCCCGAGGGATACGAACCCCTCCAAGGACCGGTACTGACCGGCGGGCTGCTCGGTGTGGCACAGGAGGCTGGACGGGCTGAGTTTTGGGTTGAAATCGCCAGAGGAACCAAGCTGATCGCGTCGTCCTGTCTGCGACGTTAAAGAATTCTTGCGAAGTTTGGGGGATCTTCTTAAATACCTCCTGATCAGCTCTTGGTTCTGTAGTGACAGCCTTAGAGTAGTTTTGGGTTAGTTGTGATCATCATTGACATGGTCTTATCCTGTTGTCCTTAGGGAGTCAGTCAGTAGGTTAGAGTGTCCGGGTAGGTCTACGTGGTGAAGAGTGGGACCTTTGTCGTGCACCAACACCACGATGGATGACTATCCGATGTATGGGCTACTTGTTGGGTTCTCCCTCTGGGGGACCCTTTGGCGTCTCCTCTTTCCTCTGGGCTTTTGGCCCACTTTCACGTGTAGAGTAGGGCCCACTCGTGGTGGGACTTCCACCAACCCCTACACGAAGGAGGAGGAGGAGAAGATGGCCGCCATTCTGCAGGAGAAGAAGGAGAAGAAGGAGGCCAAGAAGAAGGCCTTGAAGGAGGAGCAGGCAGCTAAACTGAAGATGATAGAGGAAGAGATGGCCAAAGAGAAGGAGAGGATACAGAAAGAAGAAGAAGAGAAGGTGAAAGAGGTGGAAGAGGAGGAAGAAGATGAAACGCCATTGCAGAGGAAGAGGGTGCAGTACAGTGGTAGTAGGGATGAAGAGATGGAGAAGCGAATCTCCGAGTGGGTCGCCAACTTATCCCTGGGCGAAGAAGAAGAGGTGGCGATGTATATCTCTAAAGATGATCAGGAAGCCGCTATGAGAGCTTGGGAAGCAGAAAAGGATGTTGTGAAGCGGCAGGCATTGGAAGACGAAAAGAGGATGGAGTGGAAGTTGGCAGTGATGAGGGAGAAGAAGAGGAGAGTGGACGCGGCAACGGAGGCGGCAGAAGAATTAGAGGAAGTAAAGAATATAGAAAAGCAATTGGCCGCCCAGACCGAACTCCTAGCGCAAATGCGAGTCATAGCCCGAAACGTTGCACGCCTGGCACGAATTCAGGCAGAGCAATATGATTTTAGTAGGAGTCAACACATAGCTATGCGTTCCATAAAGTTGGGGTTTCGAGACTTTGCGCGTGAGCTGGTAGGCGCTATAGGGACCGAGGTGGGTCACCGCCTCGACAAGACTGAGCGGTTCTGTGGCGGCGCCATTGAGGGCGTCAAAGCGGCAKCTCCCAAGGAGGAGGAGGCACGTCCTCCTCGTCGGGAACCGGTCAAAGTCAAATTCCCTGATTCCTACAGTGGAAAAAAGGAAGAGAACTTCGACAATTGGGCGGCCAATGTCAAGACCTATGCGCATCTGCAACAGGTCTCCCCGGATCAGCAGGTTCTGATTGCGATTCACGCGCTCAGAGATGAAGCCGCCAACTTTGCAAGGTCCCTAGTTCGCGCTGCCAATTGYAGCGATGACCCCGTTGCGTACTCCTCATTCACTTCCCTCACTGAGTTCTTGAAGCTGTTGCGCGAGAGGTTCGCCGATGTCGCCCGTAGCGTTAAGGCCTCAGACAGGCTGCAGACGATCCACGCTCGTAAGTGGAAGAGCGCTAGGGCACTTAAGAGTACCATGGACGAACTGGTAGCTGTCCCTGACCACGGAGTTACAGACACCCAGTTGGTTGGCCTCTTTTATCGGGCTATACCCGAAGCCCTCCGAGGGC